GCCCCTGGAATTTTAAATCGAAAATTGTACTTACTTTTTGGATACAATTGTAGGATCAAAAAAAAAAATTTAGCAGCATGATACAGGAAAAACATCTATTTACTAATACAAAGAATGTTTATTTTTTAAATTATTTTTAAATACAATATATTATGTGTAAAAATATATGCTGATTAAATAATAATAATTTAATAAATGTTGATAATATACTTTTTTTATTAATTTCAAAACAAGTAATAAAAAAAAATTTTTTTTTAAGTCAATTCCTACTTTTTTTTCCTTATATTGCAAAAAGTTCTTTATAAATAATTTTCATTCATTTTTTAAAGTTTATCTGGCGCCATCTATTGGTAGATATATGCAACTTAAATCTAAAAAAAAACTAAAATTAATTAATTAAATTGAATGAATGAATTAACATTTGAAAAAACTGTATTAGCATCCAGTGTCATCACTACAAGTTCCAAAAAATGCATTCGAACTTGAGTGGATGAATAAGAAGTATTTTATGAACGATTGAAAATTTGAACGAGATATATATAGGGAGAGTATGAGCTAATAGAAGGAATTGAAAAAAGGGTTGAAGGAAGAAATAAGGATCCCGCCGAATATTTTCAATAAATTCCGCCTTCAATAGCGCTGTGCCAGTGATTCAGCAGGGAAGCCCCGCTCGCAGGCGACAGTGGAAACTTAATTATTGTCTGTAAATATACAGAGCCATTTGAGCAGAGTTCAGCGTCTGGGAGAAGCAGGCACTGCTCAGAGGAGCGGCAGTAAATTCGGGAAAGAAGGTGGCTTTTCCGGCGAAAATGTTCATAATTAAAGGAAAAAGGAAATGCGGGAAAAATTACGGGGAACTAAATTGGTTTAACGAAGGTAATGATAGAACTCACTAGGAGAGTGATTATCTTAATAATCGCCGCCATTAATTACAGGTTTTTCGCTGCTCTGTGGATTCGGATTAGCCCTTGTTTACGTTCTCGCACGGAACTATTAACTTGGATGTTACTAAAATGTGGGAAATGGGGATGGGTTAATCATAGATTTTATTACAAAGAAATACGTTTCTTTACATTTTTACTATTTAAAGATATATATTTTTATTTTTTAGCTGTTATATGGCTTAATTGATTTTGATATAAAATTTTAAGTTTCATTTCACTTTTAAATATATTTACTATAATTGGTATGAACAATATGGGGCCTGATGGCCGAGTGACTAGCCCTGCGCCGCTCGGTGCCACAGGGTTCGGGTTCCATTCCGGCGGTGCCATGGATGATTGTAGTTGTTTGGTATCCACTTTAAAAAGTAGATCCTGGTCTAATATGACTGTCGAGCGTAGGGTTGACACCCCTAAACTGCAAGGAGAGTGCTTATGTGCTGTTAAATTTGTGTGTGCGTGTGCTATTAACTTTATTCAACTTTATATATTGCTATTAATTATAATTTAAAAAAAGGCCTAATGCCGAGCGACTAAAGCTCAGGCGCTCGGTGCCATATGTTTAGAATTCAAGTCCCAGTGGTGCCATGGATGATTGTAGTGATTTGGTATCCACTTTAAACAGTAGGTCCCGGTCAAATATGACTGTAGAGCATTGATCGAAAGGCTGACAACCCAACTCCGTAAAAAGAAAAACATCTTTATGTTCCGAAATCTGCCAGTAGGCAGACAGCCTTGGCCCACCATGGGGCTGTTGCGCCAAGATGATGGTATGAAGAAAATTTTCAAAAAATAGCCAATTTAAAAAAATAAGGTTATGCAGTTATGAATTAGAGGCCGAAGCAGCTTAGCGGATCCCTCTTTGGTTTTCCAAACCAATGATGCTAACTTCTGGATTTGGCACCAAGTTTCGGCACCAAGCCAAACGTTTCTGCTTCTTTGCTGAAGAGAAGGGTGCCTCAGACAGAATCACTGGGGCCTTTCATTCAAAATTTGGGTGCAGTGTAGCGGACTCTCCATTTGCTCCTTGGTGACAATGTGACATCTCATCTATTTTAGCAAGAAATGTCTTAAAACTAAGTACCTAGTATTCGAAAACAACAATGTAATGAATCCTTTTGTAGCATTGTTTAATTTTAATTGGTAATTCTTAGTAGTATTTATCTGATTTGATGATTTGCTGTGAAAAATGCTACTAATTATTCGTTTATTAGATTATTAGATAATGTTACACCTCCCTTGTTTTGGCAAGAAATCTAAGTACCTAGTATTTGAAAACAACTATATAATGAATCATTTTGTAAAGTTGTTTAATTTTAATTGGTAATTCATGGCAGTATTTATCTGATTTGAAATGCTGTGAAAAATGCTACTAATTATTTGTTTATTAGATACAATAGAAAGTAAAACGTTCTACTCATGGCTCAGTGGTAACGTATGCCTTTGGTGAGCATTAAGACTGAGGTTCAATCCACTGGTAGCATTGTTGTAGACGTTGTTTCAAAAACGAAGAGATTGGATGGCGTTTATGATGTTTAGCATCTTGCCTACTTGTTGGGAGTTTCCCGGGTTTTCTCCAAAAGTCCTTCCGGAATTCATTGCCGTCCTTCTGCCTCCTTCCTGCTCTACTTCTTCAGCGACTCGGAGTCAAGTTAGACTTCTTATAGAGTAGTAGTATCTATTATACATAGAGTAGTGCCTATGTATATGAGTAGATACAAAGGTATTATACGTGGGTAGTGAGTAGATACATGGGTACATGGTCAATACAAGGAGTGTCCGTCCCGCGCTGCCGATCATTGAGTATTAGTCACAACAGAATGTAAAACAAAAAAATCAAAATATTCCCATCTGAAAAAGTTATAAAATTTGAGATTGGGGGATTTGGCGATGTGAAAATGTTGACGTAAGCTCTTTTAAATTTCTTAACTTTATAAAATTTCTTGATTTTTTAGAAGAATATTTTGTTAGCTATATGTAATCGGAATTGTTGTGTTAATATCAAAGTGCAGTGAACTTTGCTATTATTATATCTGCGATCCTGGATTCTGTTTGCAACTAATTTATGTATTTTAATAATAAATAAATCAACAAACGCTTTAGAAAATTTAAACACGTTGACAATCTATTTAACTAACATCTGTATAATAGTTTGTTATAGGACGAATTTCAATTAAATTCTAATTATGAATGTAAGCGAATACCTTATTTAACTAAAAGCAAAGAAATTAATGGATCTAGTTTAGTTCAATATTACTATTCTGAAAGCTTATGAATAAATATATTTATATTCAATAGAAGTTAATACATACATACATTATAATACTTTCAGGCATTCCTTATTGTATTGTTTATTGTTATGTAAAATAGTGTTAGATACAAAAGGTTTAATAACCAGATATTTAACAATAATTATCTGTTTATTATCTGTTAATGACCTTATACAAAAGATTTAAATAACAGATAATTTATAATAATTTTAATTAAAGTTAACAAAACTGAAGAGAAATTTTTATTTTTTATTTTTACGAAGTTTATAATTTGAAATGTTAATTTTCTACTAAATTAGAGATACAATTTGCTTCAAATATTTGACTACTTTATAAACAGAAATTATTCTGTTTTTATTTCTTGTTTACTCAATTTGTTTTATTATCTGTTGGTATCAAATATCCGAAAATTAAAAATAAAATACTAAAATACATCTTCTACAAACTCAAACTGAAATTGGAGCAGTCTATTGGGATCAGATGGAAAACTAATTTAACACGGTAAATAAATTACGAAAAAAAAAACCCATTTATTTCATGGAGTAAATTTAAATATTCATTTATCACAAATGTTAGAATTCAATATTTTTCTATCTGTTTTCACAAATATTAATTTTTTTTTGCATTAAATTAAATTAATTTTTTTGCGAAATGTTATTTTTGGATATTTTTTGAGGAACATGGATTTCAGATAATTAGAATTGGGTCCAGCTAAAATGAAAATAATATTAATAAATGGATTTATAAATTACTTTTGACATGATATTTTAAATAAAAAGTGTAACTGTTACATTTTTCCAATTTAAACTTAGTCGAAATTATTCACATTTAATTGAGTGTTTTGAAATATTAAGGATTTGTAATTTGTTTTTTGTTCTTAATGTGAACACTTCTTATTAATTTAATAAATAAACTATTTTCGTAAATTGCTGTCTCTACTCTCGATGATGAAATATTTCCAATATATATATATATATGGGCGAAATAAGCAATTTGAGTAATTCCTTTTAGTAAATCAAACAAATGAATTAAAACACAAATGAAGAGGATTAATCTCAATTAAAGTAAGATAATAAAATATTTCCAATATTAAAATGCATATTTTAAATAGATTATCAATAACTTTATATATATATATATATATATATCACGGCGAAATAAACAATTTAAATTATTTTTAGTAAATCAAACAAATGAATTAAAGTATAAATGAAGAGAATTAATCTCAATTAAACTAAGATGATGAAATATCTCCTCTATACTATTCTAGGTGATGAAATATTTCCGATATTAAAATTATTTTAAATAGAATATCAGTAACTTTTATATATATATCTGATTGGAGTAAGCAAATTAAGTTGCGCTTTTTAATAAATCAAACAAATGAATCAAAAAAATAAATGAAAAAGATTAATCTCAATTAAACTAAAACACTCTATTATATATAGAACTAAGCGTTCTCACTTTTAAATGGTTTCTGTCGTTTCGTCTTCATTACATTTTTTATTATTCCTCTATTTCTTGACATAAAAGGAAAAATGTAAAGAAAGCAACATGATATATTAATCATTTAAATAAAGTCTTTGAAAAGCAAAAATTAATTATTATATTTGGAAGAACTTTTGGCTTTAATCCAGAGTCAGTCAACTTTCTATCTTATTCATTAATACTCATTCTTGACGTTGTAGCTTATTTTGATTTACGCCAAAGTTAAACTCCTGATAACTTGAGTGTTTTAATTTGCAACGGAGTAAGGAAAGCATTATAAAAATATATATGCTTATAAGCCAACGGCCGTACCATGCTGAATATACCGGTTCTAGTCAAGCATCATTGGGCGTGGTCAGTACTTGGGTGGGTGACCACCTGGGAACACTGCGTGCCGTTGGCAAATTTGGGACCTGAATGGCCGAGTGTCTAGCACTCTGGCGCTCGGTGCCACAGGTTTCGGGTTCGAGTCCCGGCGGTGCCATGGATGTTTGTAGTGGTTCGGAATCCACTTTAAGCCGTAGGTCCTGGTCTCCTATGACTGTAAGAGCGTCACGGAGCAAAAGTCAGGCTTCTACCTACGGGTGCTCCATCACAACAGAAGCTGCTTCCTTCCCCTTCAATTATGAGTACGTATGGGCTCGTGGGCTTGGCCAACCAAGTGGGATAAGAAACAACAAAACATATATGCTTATTCCTGCTCTCGCTAACATCTTCGACTCGACAGCACATGGTGGACCAAGGCCTTCACGAGAACCTTCTTCCATTCCAATCTCTGCTTTGCGACAGTTTTTCTGCTAATAATTCTTAAAACTTTAAAATCTGCTTCCTCACAATCGCTCCATCATTGATCGGTCAACTTGGTCCTACTCTTAGTTCTAATTCCAAACGGTATATAGTTGAATATCCTAAATGTCAAGGATAAGGAGACCATTCAGCAGATGTGGTCCTCAAACCTCATACGTCCTATCTTGATGAATATAATGATATCTGCATTCTTAAACTACTTATATCATTCAAAATTACATCGTTTTCTCCAAAATCCATTCTAATTCACAGCACCAAACATATTTCTAAGAGCCTTTTGCTCAAAGATGGTCAACTGTTCAGTCTGAGATTTAGTCAAAATCCATGTCTCAGATCCATAGGTGAGAGCAGATCGAATGATTGCTTTATATTACATAATTTTTTTTTGTATATCTCTCAATTAATTTTGTCTTTAGGGAAGTTTTTAGACCATGGACATAGCGATTAGCTGAAAAAATACGTCTTTTTATTTCGATACCTATATTATTTAGAGTGCTAAAGTTTGAACCAAGTTAAGTAAAATTATAAATCACTTCAAATTTAAAATCTTCAGTCTTCAAATATTTATAGCTTCCTGGATTTTTAGTAATTGGCATATATTCGATAACACGAATAATAAATATACGATGCCCTTTTTTGTGTTTGTGTTATAATGGTGATCGTTTCATAAAGCTATTACTCATTGAATGCATTGTTGTGTAAATGGCTTGTAAATATCTTTGTAGACACCTTTTTTGCTAAACCATTAAAAAAAGAAGGATTATGTGAAAGAATTTTCATAAGATAAAAGTACCGTATAAGAAATTAATAATACTCGTATTTATATAAAAAAGCAGTATTTTAAATATTAGTATTTGTATTTTAAAAATTAGTATTTATAAGAAGGGGATAAATAGTCATATAGTTAAGATATTATTTTATTATTTTTTAAAGATTTGCAGCTATTCTAAGATATACAGCTGTCCTAATTTTAGCGTATCGATGTTCTTTTTATAAAGAACTATACCTTTCTGTAAAGAAAAAAAAAATTATGTGTTAAAAAAAGAAGAATTACGCGAAAGAATTTTTATAAGTATAAAAGTACCATATAAGAAATAAATAGCACTGATATTTATATAAAAAAGTAGTATTATAAATATTAGTATTCATATCTTAAAAAATAGTTTTTATAAGAATGGAATAAATTGTCATCAAGTTAAAATATTAATTTATTTTTAAAATACTCTTGTAGCTATTCTAAGATATACAACTGTCCTAATTTTTAGAGCGTCGACATTATTTTTATAGAGAAAGATACCTTTCTGTTTTGAAATGTAAAGCCAATCGATTTTTATATTAAACCGAAAAAGCATGTGATGGAAACATTACTCAATCAGTTGTACAATAGTAAGTTTACAGTTTACGGTACAGTAGTAAGTTACCAGTTATACAATAGTAAGTTTACAGTTTACAGTACAGTAGTAAGTTATCAGATATACAGAAAGTTATCAAAATATTAATTTATTTTTAAAATACTCTTGTAGCTATTCTAAGATATACAACTGTCCTAATTTTTAGAGTGTCGACATTATTTTTCTAGAGAAAGATACCTTTCTGTTTTGAAATGTAAAGCCAATCGATTTTTATATTAAACCGAAAAAGCATGTGATGGAAACATTACTCAATCAGTTGTACAATAGTAAGTTTACAGTTTACGGTGCAGTAGTAAGTTACCAGTTATACAATAGTAAGTTTACAGTTTACAGTACAGTAGTAAGTTATCAGTTATACAGAAAGTTATAAAAATATAATTTTTATGAAATTTTGTTTTAGCTATAACATCATAGTACAAAATTACTTAAGGTAAAGAACGAAAAATAAATTAGACAACGTTAAAGAAAACTTTTGAACAACTTTTTAGGGCTTCACTCTGCGCATCTTTCTCAGAGAGCAATCATTGCACTTGAGTGAAAGGTAATTACCGAGTCCCTAACCGAATTAAGCGTGGACAACAAAAACGAAAAACCGAGAGAACTCTTACATCGGAAGAGGACATTTAGCGACGAGAGAAAGAGGGAAAAAAATAACAAATTGTATGAACAAAAAAACAGTCATTGCCCTTTTGGCAGTCGCAATGAAGATATATTTGGCCTAGTCCCTTCTCATCAGAGTCCTTCTCTGAACTTGTTACACCTGCTACGAGACGGGAGCGTCCACAAATTGATGAGAGAGCACGCGAGCACTAGTAATTGGTTTTTTTTCTGTAGACACCTTTATTGATTAGACCTTCACTTCAGTGGTAATCAGGGCGATAAATTGCATTCATTTGGGTTTAAACGTAGGAAATTTATTAATTCTGGTAGGTTGCAAATTGAATAATGATTTCTTTTTTCAATTCCTTCTATTAGCTCACACTCTCCCTATATATATCTTGCTCAAATTTTCAATAGTTAATAAAATACTTTTTATTCATCCACTCAAATTCAAGAGAACAATATACTGAATTTTAAAGGGATTTTATAAATTTTTTTTTTGTCTTTTAAGTGAAAAAATAGACGAAATTAATTGATAAGCTATTTTAAAAGAGAATTATTAATTATTGATTTAAAATTTTTCATCTTAGAAAATTAATTAAAATAAAATATAAAAAATTGTATGCCAAGAATTTTTATTTATACAATATACTGAATTTTAAAGGGATTTTATAATTTTTTTTTTTTTTTGTCTTTTAAGTGAAAAAATAGACGAAATTAATTGATAAGCTATTTTAAAAGAGAATTATTAATTATTGATTTAAAATTTTTCATCTTAGAAAATTAATTAAAATAAAACATTATTTTATATTTTTTTTTTTTTTTTTTCTTTTTAAGTGAAAATATAGACGAAATTAAAAATTATTTTTAATCTTTTCATCTTAGAAAATTAATTAAAATAAAATATAAAAAATTTTATGCCAAGAATTTTTATTTATACATTATACTGAATTTTAAAGGGATTTTATAATTTTTTTTTTTTGTCTTTTAAGTGAAAAAATAGACGAAATTAATTGATAAGCTATTTTAAAAGAGAATTATTAATTATTGATTTAAAATTTTTCATCTTAGAAAATTAATTAAAATAAAATATAAAAAATTTTATGCCAAGAATTTTTATTTATACAAATTGTTTATTGTTTCAATAAAAGTCCACCCTATCTTTAGAACGCGAGCACTCGTAATTGGATTTTTTTCTGTAGACACCTTTATTGATTGGGGCTTCACTCCATTGGCAATCAGGGCGATAAATTGCATTCATTTGGGTTTAAACGTAGGAAATTTATTAATTCTGGTAGGTTGCAAATTGAATATCGATTTTTGTTTTTATTTTCTAGAGCTTGTATCACTTGATATTTTAGAAAGGTACAATTATTTTTGCTAAGTTAATAGCACCTTAATTAATAAATCAATATCGGACAGATGAAATTTGAAGATAATAGTTTACTGTATTTTAAAGTGGTTTTATAAATTTTTTGTTGTTCAAGTAAAAAGGTTGATGAAATTAATTAATAAGCTATTGGAAAAGAAAATTATTAAATATTAATTTAAAAATTTTCATCTAAGGAAAGTAATTAAAATAAAATGTAAACGTTTTTATGCCAAAATGTTTTATTGATAGGAATTATGTTGTCGTTGTTTCTTATCTCACTTGGTAGACATCTAGACGAAGGCCACGAACCCATATGAATTCATACAAATTGTTTATTATTTTAATAAAAGGTAACCCTTTCTATACAAGTTGTAAAAAATTTAACATAATTATTATGAAAAATGTAATTAATATTATAATTCGTTATATATTACCTTCTTCTTCACTGGCGCAAAGTCCCATGGTGGACCAAGACCCTGTGCCCATTGACAGTATAAATTACCTATTCTCATTTAATTTTGTGTTGCTGATATATATTTAGAATCAATTTTAATATGTATACTGTTTTTAATTTCTTGTATAATGTAACTGATTTATGGATTTGATTAATTAATATTGTTTCCATTATCAAAATCTAAATTTTAAAATAATCCTTTCACACTTAGAAACCAAATTTTTGTACTATTTCTTTTTTTTTTTTTTTTTTTTTTTCAATGAAAATACAAGTTTGATAAAAAAATCATGATTTCTTTGGTTGATATAAATAAACTAAATTCTGAATAATTTTTAAATATCAAAAATCTACAAACAATTAAATTTTAAATTAAATTAAAATTTAATAAATAAAAATAACTATTTTTATTTATTATATTTAACTATAGCGTGATTAGCAAATTAAAATTAATTTTAAATATAATTTAAAAAATAAATAATATTAAATATAAATTTTAAATATAATTAAAGGTAATTTTTAATATTTAATTTATTTTATTTTAATTATTTATTTTGATAAATACATCTACTGAAACCTTTCCAAAAACAGTTGCCTAAATTAACTGGAGAAAAACCATAAATATTCAGTAATCTGTGAAATTAATCTCAGAAATTTAAGGTATCAAAAGATGTATTCAAATAATGAGTTAATAAAAAAAATGATTAAAATCTAAAAAAATTAATAAATATAACTTCCTCAGTAAGAAATGAATAAC